TTAAGTGTTTCATTGCTTTCCTTTTCGATCACTTGCCATACGTGTTTTTTCTCTACGAAGTACGCTGCCCATTTGTTTCGTAATGGATGCCCTTTGTTCCTCGCGATTTGTCTCAAAATGCTCGAAGCTGTAATTTTTGTTATCTTACCCGTGTTGCACCGCTGGTTCAGCTGTGATAGGATTCTTGATGCACGGTCGTAGATTTGAAAGAAACTTTATCTTCTTATTTCCATGTGCTAATAATCAGCAGGTCTTGAAGACCTGGTTCGTTAATGAAAGTTTGTTTCATGATCTTTTGTCTTTCGTTCTCGTGGTGATCAAATGGTCCTTGATGTTTATTGTTTATCAGCACCGAAGTTAACAAGACGTGTTATCGTCTTGTGCTTCTCTCATCCGCGTTTTTCACATTCTTTTTGGAGCGTTTGGTGCAATTCCGTTTCTGTAGGTTTCATTCTGTTGTTCAAAGTACAAGTAGTCCGATATGGGCTGTTTGGCATCTAGTAACATAAGGATATCAGTTATTTTAAAGTTGAACACAGAAATTTTGAAGGATCCGCAATTTCAGCATCTTTGTGCGTTTGGTTGTAAAACGGATGAAACGTTTAAAAGAATTAATAACGGGAATACTGGTAAACCAGCGGCAATACCGGTTACTCAGGGCATGAAACGCAACAAAAATGATTAAATCGATTTAGACAGGCAAAACCCGCGCAGACAGGGCTGTGAGTCCCAGGTGTTCCTAAAGGTGCCACACGAACATGCTCCACAATTGGGTTATAACACGGACCAACCATATATATGTATATTGATTAGTAACCGAATTAAATGGGGTTACATTAGCAGTCTTTCATTTGTTGTCGGCTCTCTTATAGTCATCAACCATAGATGGGGCGAGCATTGTCGGATCAATCTCTGTGCAAGTGACGATAGTCAGCGCCAAATGGATCAAATGAACGAGCTTTATCTATATCATGTAGTATTACCGTCACACCAACCACAGAAGCCAACTCAGATTACCAGGTAGTAGTTTGCAGGGCACGTAGTCGTACAAATCCGGTATCTAACTGACATTAGGTCAATTGATTAGTACTACGGAGAATTCATGACCGTTCTTGAGTCTGCCTAGAATTCTGGACAACCAACGTTTGGTTATTGGAATNNNAAGTTGGTTCTTATCAAGTGGGCATTCCCCTTAATATATTTATATATTAGAACAACTTTTGCTGGAATCACTAAATGTAATATGTTTTCCCCTAATCCCTACTTTGCGATAACAATCATCATTGTTTCGTTGACTGTATTCAATTTAATTCAACCGGTGTATTCCCTCTGTGTAGCTAGTGATTAGGTTCAATGTGTAGTGGTTTGCCTCGTGAAACTGAAGGTCATGCGGTATATTGAAATAAGGTGACATTGTACTTAAACATTGGCCTCTACAGAATGGAGCAAATGTCCTACAACTTCCTTGTTCCTCATTCTCTCACTGCCAGTAGACGTTTGGTTTAACTGCGCTTGTCACCATAGACTGGTTCGAGGAAGCCATTGAGCATTTTTCTCCTCGGGCGATACAGAAGCACAATATGAAACATACTGCTTTTTGCCTAAGTAAATGTCATATTTTATCCTCCGGTCCCATTTAACAAAAGCATGCGACCATGTTATACCAATCCCTCCCCGTACACCTGAACGCCCATTTGTCTGGCATATGTGAACGTATTCGCGAGTGGTCGGAATGAAATATTTGACCGTGTGCGATATCAGCGCGAGATTTGATAAATGCTTAAACTCGGGCAATGTACGAGCAACCATGGACTGTGGTGTTGTGTTTTTAAATTTTTACCAAATTTTGCCAAAACACTTTGCGTGTGTGTGCGAGAGAGAGAGACAGGAAAGTGATGAGCCAACTATTTCGCATTCAAACTGCACCCTTAGGATAACAAATTGTAAAATTCCTGACTGAAGCGGTACACACAGACAAACCGGTTGAACTGATTAGGGAAATATATATTTGAGTTAGTAATACCAACTATAAATCACGTTTCAAGTGCGCAGTGAATATTCTTTGTTTCCTGCTCTTCGCTTCGCTTCGCACTGACCTGTCCCGATTGTAAACATTTACATCTGAATCAGTGAACATTGTACAAGACTACTTTTGGGGCTAGTTCATAGCGGGAACGAGGGCTGTTTGCCAAATGTAGCACACCATTCGAAGCATGCAACCGATCTCGTTAACAGGTGAAGGTAGAGCTCGTTTCGGAGCCACGGACGGTGTAATAAGAAAGCTAGCAACATCGTAGCCATAATAATAGGTGCTGTTGTTTTGGTTGTTGTCGAAAACGATCTAAAACACCTTTTACAAAATCTAATGTAAAGAAATCGACTAAATAATCTGGTTTCCACTAGTTAATTTCTCGAGGTCACCAGTACATCAAACTGAACCCCATGAGCCCATTTCGTAATTTGCAGTATTTTCCTAGGCAGTATTGGATCTCAAGAAATAGCTGTACTATACTAGTAAATAAAAATACGTCACAGATCATAATTTCAATATATATTGCTGTCCGTCCCAACTAGGATTTTCGTCAATATGCCATCTTATAGAATGTCCGCAAACGGTTGACGTCGTTATGGTAATTCTTAACGTGAGGGGAAGTGCAGGATTTTCGCCTCTGTCGAGCACCGGTGAATGCTGCAGTATCCAGCAAGAGTCAATAATAAATGTCATATATCATACATCCAGTTCTCTTTAGGAATTGCATAAGAGAAAGAACATTCATCGTCACAGGACAGGTTGAATTCAACTGTTTCACGTTATTTCTTCAGCTGTGTACAAACATTCATGTGAAAGTTCCACCAGGACAATGACAAATCTTTAAACACCAAAAACACTCGACTAGGCAAAATCAGTGCGAAGGTCAACGGTCATCAGTCACAGTCGGGTTAAACACAGGGATAGGGTGGGAGAACATGTTTATCAATTCGAATCAAGGTGACAGGAGGGTCAGGCTGGCCATAAAGTCGAATTGTTTGCATGGGTCCGGTTTGTGACGCCGGATGGCCTTTGACCTTCGCACTGATTTTGCCTAATCAAGTGTTTTTGATGTTTAAAGATTTGCTTAAATTGTTGTCTGGCAGATTTGAAGTTTGTAATTCGACTGTGAAACATTCACTGGTCTCGGTGGGATTCGAACCCACGCATGGACGCCGCCTACGCTTTGTACGTGCATGCTCTACCAGATGAGCTACGAGGCCACACCGATAGCACTGATCTTTCTACATTCGTATTTACCCATCCAACTTACAGAGGCATGTGGCACTCAACGATGTTTCATTGTCCTGATCGAACTTTCACATCAATGTTTGTACACAGCTGAAGAGATAAGGTGTAACAGTCGAATACAACCTGTCCTGTGACGATGCTTGTTCTTGCTGTTATGAAATCTCATATAGTTTTTATTAAGTACGGGAACGTATATCGCAGTTTGTGTATCTGGTTGAAGGTAATTCGGTATTTCTACCAGATTCTTAGGAGTGTACCAAATACTTATTGAATGCTCCCTAGGACTCTTTGGATAAATGTGTAACAACATATTTGCATGATCCTATTTACTCACAACATATGCTAATGTATTACCTGTAGGTGGTATCAACCATCCTCTTAATGGTTAATATTTCGAGACTTTGAACACTTTTGCAGTCATCCTAATATCCATCTGACCGGTTTTCAGCCATCATTTAGTGCAAATCGTTTCCAACATCTAGTGTTTGCTTCATTTAAAACTGTAGATAACTGTTCTATCAAATATTTCCCAGGTGAATTGTTTTGCTAAGATCCTACCCAATGTGTACAGTTTTAAATTGACAAGCGTTTCGATATCTTGAACCTCAGGATCTTGGCGTTTAGCGAGGCGATGCTAATCAAGTTACGTAACCCAGTCCTGTGTGCACAAAAGTTTCTTACTCAATCAGTCAAACTGCCATGGACCTGATCTCCCACCCCACCCTCTCCCCCGCTTCCCTGACTGTTGTCCGTTTTACCACCGTAGTTATTAAAACTGGCTTGTATAAATATCAGGTTGTTTTTTACGTCGTAGCCACTGAAGAGATTACAAGAAATGTGAACATCTCGCAGTATTTGTCATCTATCGGTTCTAACGAATTGGATAAAGAGGACCCAATGTTTCAAGTTTCGATATCATTTGATGCGGTCCAGCGATGCTCCAATGTTGACGAACACATGGACTAGCTTGAACATGTCGGTCTCCAGTGATATAGTTGTAACCTAATGTTGAACGGATTTTTTCGGAAGAAAAAACAACTCATCAATCTTTCATAGCGGATTTCAATCCAGTCGTCAGGTTGGTAACGCATGGGATGGAAATCCACTTTTCATAAGATCCAGCTAGATTTTTCTGTGATTCAGCGTCTAAAAGATCAGTGAGCTTCAGAGTACTCCCCCAAATTTACCGGTAATATAAGATAGCATCAAATGTACCAATATGTTATTAATTCGTTAACCACCAACCAAGCTAAAAACCGTTGAAACGTTCCCTTTTAATACAAACAGCTTTTGCCATTATGACCGGTTTTCTGTATAGAAGAATGAAATTTAACAGATGTCACCTGAGCTTTATCAATTTTATCTCCAAAAGTATTAAAATGTTTAAATAGCGATAATTAAACAACGAATATAGATTCCCGTTACGCACACTTTTAGTTGAGAGGCTCACATCTGAAATGTTATTTATTTACCAAATAAATGAAACTTATATTTTGAGGTTATTTGATGAACTCCAAACTGTTCCAAACATGTTGCAAGCAGTTGATCATGACGACTATCTTGTCTCAAAATTGCACATTCCAAATCAATATTTGAGTAACCAGAAGGGAATAATCGGTGAGAGATAGTTTTATTCAAGAAGTGCTTGAAAATAAATTTGGAAACCTGATTGGCTAATATTATTAATTCGATAGATTCAGCACAAGACACACACACTGACCTTCACATGTGAGTCCTTTCGGTCCCAGTTCGAATCCAGGTTCACAGATGCACTGGAACTCGTCATCGTCCAAATGCCATTTGCCGTTCACCATACAGAAAGCACCGGGTACTCTGGTTGGTCCTTTGGTAAATGCCATGGGAAACGGTCCGACGGAATGAGTTGCTCCCGACACACATGTTCCGGGTACGAATCTAATTTCCGCATTGTGACCAGCATGAGTTTGTGGTAGCTGCATCAGATTAACCTGAAGTAAAAGACAGATAGGAGTCGTCTAATTGAACTGAAGCACAGTGAAACCGGTCGATCGAAAACCCGACAGTGCGGGAGTGGAGAGCCAATGAATAACTTTTTTATCTTATCAATCGGGCTAGAGTTTGATTGAGTTACTAATTTTTTCTCTTACCCAATCTCGTTCAGAATTATTGTCATGTGGGGTTCAATAACTGTCAAGTTCTGTTTGCTGCTACAATCGCAGATTGATTTATTGCAATCAAAATATCTGATTTCACTTAATGTTTTTTAGTTTCGTTTGTTAGCGTCGAAGAAATTGGAATTCGGATTGATAAAACGTTGCACTGAACAGGAAAATATACCCAGTTAGAGTAATTGATAATTATTAATCCCGTCAGAGTAGCCGTCATTCTTCTTTTTCTTCCAATAGGAATATCCAAATTCTTGTTGTTTGGCATAAAGAAGAATTTTGCAGTCGTCACTTGTTTGAAATGTGTTATTTTAACTTGGATATTCTTGCAGGTTATAAGGAAAACAAATTGCCTAATATGATATTGATGCACGCGATTAAGAATGATCATTAGGTCTGCTTCAAGTGACACGTATTCATACTGCAATGAACGGATTTTGTATTTCCCAAGTCAAAAGGAAACAAGAATAGAGTCACTCAAGACGAAAACAGAAGGAAGTGACAGAACATTACAAATGTAACATAAAATCAACCACAGGCGACAATCACATCCTCTTGGTTTTGTGCTCTCTTTTGTGCTAAAGACGGCGAATAGTAGAGTTTATCTTTGGTACTGTCTCAATTTGGGAATATTGCACAAAATCTCCTGGCTTATCACATGGTGAGACTCATGGCGTTTTACTTTAACAAATACGGTCTTTATTTATTTATTTTTTCTCAACAATTATTCAACCCCTTGGTTTGTCGCATCTACGATAATTTACCATTTCCATGTCATTCGCCTTTTCGTTACCACGTTTCTACTGATATGGAGACCTGAAACATTGGTTTCTGGGATAAACTTAAAGATAGAGTCTAAGTGGACCAGGTTGCACGATTTATCCCACGTAGATTTCGCTGCCCCTCAGCTGTTACAGTCTAGCGGAAAACAGCAGTTAATATCGTTGGACAGTATATCAGTGGCAAAGAAATATGATTCAATCATCCCCACTCCACCCTCTGTTAGAAAATTACAAGTAGTGTATCATTTTTAATGTGAATGAGAAGAAATTTTCACTGACATAGTAAATAGGCAGTTGCGTATATGGAGTAGGGAACAAAGCCCGTGCTCGGTTGGACGCTGATTCATCATGATATCACTTATTTGACCCTTAAAACTCAAACAACTCAACCAACACTGCCACACTCAACCACATTACATCAGAACACCGAACAGAAGCAATGTGAGTCGTCTATACTTGGACAACTGCTGATTACGAATCATGGTCTGGACCGGGTAAACCAATTCAAGGCCATCATGATTACAATAATTTTCGGCTTCACAGGTTCGATTACTATTAGACGGAAACCTAGCCTGTGTACAAAATAACTATTAGTGAAACATCTAACTGCTTTAACAGTGTTTTATGTGTTACGGTTCAGCCTTTTTTTAATTGTTCGTAATGAACGTACTGTTCAACGAGATAGACTGTTGTTTTCCGTCTTATGATATCATTTGAGATCCAGTGAAGTCAGTGCTCTGTTCATGACAAACAAATATATAGCTCTGATTTAGAGGGAACCCTATACCTAATTCAGAGGCTTTGTGATGTTACAATGTCCACGTTACAATGTGTAGATTCCATGGATTTTCCTCCGCACTTTGTGTTGAACACGGATGCCCACCTCGTTCGCATGCATCAAAAGGAAAAAACTATGAGTACATTTTTGGATACTGCTTTATCCAGCCACGAAACACAAAATGGTTGCAAGTAAATATGAGCGAGATGCGAATGAGATCTCCCCTGTCTGATCCTCGGTATTCATTTTGTTTCTTTAAATGCCATCAGTTATGTCAAGTTGTTTCTTTTATAGGAACACCAGTAAACAGTAAATTTACATTGAGAGACAACACTGATGTTACGGTTACAGCCAAGTTCAATTTTTTATCCACGAGAGAAAACCGCTGGCTCGTAATAAGAATCTAGGCAGTTCAGACATTACTATTTTCATTTGGCCTCGTAACATATAAGCTTCGGCGGGATAGCGTGGGTGGCACGTGGCCTAAGTAAAACACCATTCTTATGCCTTTTGCTAGTCGAAAGGTCCAGTTAGTGGGAGACACGCGAGGTTGGTCATATTCACTAATCTCACTATCTTCAGTTCAACCGGAAGCAATTGATACTAATGATAATAAAGCCCCCATAGGACGTATTGCGTTTTGTATAGATGTCAGTGTGATGAAGTTAACCACTCGAACACTGAACACAACAATCGATAGAAAATGCGGCGCCAAAACCCCGCATTACATCCGCGTTCAAGGCTGCCAGTAGGCTGCAGCTCTAGGATAACGTTCCTAGTTCTGAAGTCTCATATTGTGTGTTCTTGTTTCATTAGTTCTTTTTGGACAACGTACACCAATAGCATCATCGAATTCCATAATGTCACATAACTTGGTTGCACACTCCATGTATGGATAAGAGGAAACAGCAAACGTAAGCTGTCCAAATCTTGTCGAGTTCGATCACTTTCTGAACCTGGTCAAGGATTTTCGCGTCCACGCAAAGTAATGTAAGCGGGTTTAATATAGCATCCTGGATACATGAAAAGCACCGATAATTCGAATTCACATAGCTCTCCTGTCTTGTCTAAAAGACAACTTGTTAGGTCATTGTATGCCGAAAGATCCCGCCCACTTTTCACTCGTCCATTAACGTTTATCACATTCGCTTTTGCCACCACATTGCTTTTGAGCACGGAACAGATTGATCACACCTACAGCTAAATGTATAAACATAGATGAACTCTCAGATGAATGTTATAGGTTGCATAGAACATTTGCTGCTATATTTGAATTCATTTTCTATTGCATTATCATTTTTGGAAAGCTACGATTTCCAAATGCAAGCGATTTGATTAGTTTCCAGATTATCCGTCTGCGCTGAAAGTGAATCTTCTCTAAAACAGGTAGTTCGTCACCACGCTCGGGGGAATCCGTTTTATGAATTCAAAACTATTCCAAGGTTCGCTTATCCGAAACCGTCAAAACTTAGACGATATTTTTAGAAATGATACGGAAAATAATCAGAGATAATGTTCGAAGCGTTCAAGCATGAAAATCACGCGCGACGGAGAACACAACCAGTCAGTAAACCGAATGACATTTTTGAATCGCCCGTTTCACAAAAGACAAGTGTCTGTTTCGAGCATACAGGTAAACTCATTTTCATGACCTGTCAACGAGTATGACAACTTGTCCAAAGCACCATAAAGCATGCATCTGAAAACGCTTTCGTTACTTTCGTCAGACGACAGCTGTCGATGAAACCAGTAAAGTTTGGCTGATTAAATGACTCCGTTGAATAAATACTTCACTGATGGACAGCGAGCGCTGCGTTTATCCCCAAACCCGAGTCAGGTAAGTGTATGGGGTAGATTCTCTTCAACTACATACCTAAAACGTTGCGTGTGACCAGGCGCATGCCAATCACAACTAAATTATTTTCGTGAGCGCCTCTCTCCTGTTAGCTTTTGTATTACTCTGATTGCTCTATATGATTTATTGTAGATATAGCACTGTTGTTCGGTTCAATGACCCGCTATACGATTTGATACGCCTGGCCGTTCATCCACACACTGACATGACCCGTTATATACAAGTCCGACTGTCTTGATTCACTCGCGTGCGCATGCCCATACTGACACAATAACATCTGTTTCTTTTAACTGATTAATCTCCACCTACATGTGCACACATGAAAAAGAACACACGGGCCGCTCATCACAAATGTTTTCAATTCAGTCGTAGATGCGCTAGCTCACTGCTGTTCACATATGTTTGGTATATTTGGTTTGCTTTTTAATATGCACCCGTCACTTAGAGGCTACTTGTTGCTTCTCCTTGACAAGACTCGGAAGGACTATACATTTGTTTCATCCCGATGCGTTTGAACGTGCATACTTGGGGTTATGAATTCGATGAGTAGGCATAACGGAATAATCCAAGTGACTGTTGGCAATTGGCTAACTTTGGCTGACATGAAGCGCATCCATCACTATTGTTTAAAGTCTACCTGACGATGGTAGACTGCCTGCTGTACGGTGTGTAATACTTTAGTAACAGTACCTTAAGATACATGCTACTTACTGATTTGTTATTATTTTCACTTCTTTGATTGCCTGCTTTGTTGCTGTTGCATTTTTATGTATAGTTTTAATCAAACTGACTCACCGTCTGAGATCTGTTCTTCCTGTTTTGTGTCGAATATCCCCTAATTTGTCCTTCACTAATATGAAGTCGATTTCGCCTCTCCTGATACGTGAGAATCCACGTAATGGTAAACTGACGATACCGGGAAAATTGCTACCTTCCAAACTTTTAGAGATCTGAAACTGATATTAAGTATTTATAACGGAATATTTATGTTTGAGTAAACAGATGGTCTGCTGCGAGAACCCAGCAAGCCAGAAAGAGTTGCTACTTCTGTAATATAACGATTTGGGATGTTGTTGTACGCTATATTACTGGTTCCATCCGCACTCTATTCGAAGTTAAACAAATGGTGACCTACTTTGAAAATAACCTTGATTCTGAAACAACATCTATCGGAGCTAACTTCGGAACGTAGCACACCAAATTGAGGTGATTACTTTCGTCCTACATGACTTAGCTTATCACGCGAAATGTGTTTGTTGACTGGAGTTGAACCGTCATGTTTTTCTACGGGGTCCAATGGTAAGTCATTCTTTGCCAAAAATAGTTCACATTAGTATATTTCGTTCCTCACGCATGTTTTACGTATACACAGCAGACGTATACCGCCCATTTTTCTGTTGCCACTCACGTGATTATTCACAGATTGCATTGAGTCAAGGCGATGAACATCGCACCGGATATTATACGAACTGAGTGTGTCCGATCTTTCGGGATGGGGTCCCAAGATTTATACCGCCAGTTAGTTTATCGGAAAAAAGAAGACCTATATAACAGCGAACTGGTGCAATATCTCTCACATTTTAATTTACTATTTGGTCAGAATATTCAAGGGAATGTGGAAATTACAGTGAAGGAGCATTTACATTTACTCCCCTTGACAGAAATAATCGAGAACGTCTCTTAAGAGATATGGTGGCGACTATGAAGATGCGGTTGGTGAGTGTAGGCAGGAGGATGATATGTAAGAGGATGGCGATAATAATAATAATCACGCTAGTGATTTTCGTAATTTTAACTCAAAATAATATTCCATTTCGCCTTTTCTCCGAGCTTGGCAATTTGTTTGCAAACGTTTCTTCACCAGCCGAGGTGACATCATTTCTTGTGAAGTAGCAGTGTTCTGCTTGTACTCGTATATGGATTATTTTCCAACGACTACTCTTGTCCCTTTTCCTCGCTGTGTTCGGTTCGGTTCACCGCAAAACCGGTACAAGAGGGTGACGGTGGATTGTCCTTTCGTTCTGTTTGCGGTTTCGTCCGTTCACAGATCAGGGCACGACATTTTTCTTTGCGTCATTGATCCTTGAGTTGCATGGGCGTGTACACGTGATCCAGTTCAATGTGCTTCTTTATCGAATTGATTGAAGATTACCAGGCCACGGGAAATTCTCTGGTGTGTTTTGACCGGGCTTGGTTGATTATTTTCACTGACTCGAAGGCAAGCTGATGCCCTTTTTGATCTTCGCGAACGACGTTAGTGATTCATACCTCCTGACTGCCGATTGGTGTTCACAGATCCATGTTGAAAATATTCTCCCAGTTTGTGAGATATAATAATAATAACAGTTATATAGTTATCAAAATCACTATAATTACGAGTTATTTGATCATCCAATCTCTATCCTTAATACTTTTGGTCAATACGATTCGCTCAAAATTTGTTTTTGAGTGAGTCTGTATTACGGCCCTTCTGTAGAGTTTGGATACTTTCTGCACCATCATGCATCTTTGAAATGCAGGATAAATGGGAACATATTCGGACAATATCTTTTACTTCCTATGCAATCACTTTCAACATCAGCCTTATTCAGTACGTTGCCAAGAAACTCTACATGATCTCCATGGCATGGATTCACACGAGGTTAAATCCATCAATTTCTAATGTTTTGTGTAACGATGGGTTAACAATAAAAATTCACATATCAGAAGCACAATAATTGTTGTACTCACGAGGTGTCAAAAATATTGGCAAAAGTAAATAGTTCCAAGTTCGTCCTGATTTATTGATGTCGCTTTTCTTTCTCCTGTGGTATTTTTATGTAAATTAGGTAATTTGCTGCACATGAATAGCTGATAATCAGTTGTGTTTTTAGACGGTTGACTTCTCAATCGGGCGTTCATACGCCCAAGAACGCGATAATCGGCACCGTAATCGACTTACAGTTACAGTTGGTTTAGGCGAAGTCAGTTGTCCTACTGATGGTAAGTGACTGCTTTGGCTCGACATCTCGGATGGATGGTCGCTATAGGGAACATAAACTTCATATGTCAGCCCATTCTTTGCTTTGTTCTGCCAAACGGTTCCTCCACTTGACGGTTCCCATGATGAATACAAATTTGCGATTGCACGATATTTGTTAGACATCAGTCATCATGTGTACACACCAAGAGCGTTTCGATTGTTTAGGATATCTTGAAGATCATAAATTTTCGAATTTCGTAAGCCATATAAATCCATCGCTTGAAAACAAAATCATGCATTCAAAAACATTTGTGAAGAAACTTTCGTTGCCGTGGTAGTGATAACGTCACGCTAGAAGCTCCCGATCATAGTGCGCGACAAGACCTTTCCTCTTTCTCCCTCTATCACATTCACCATATTGTTTGACCACTTCAAGTTTGTAGCAAAATTTATTTCACTTGACCTGAACCGCTAACCAAACCCAAAGCAGGCAACTCACTTGTCCACCACCCTGTTCCAACGACTCGTTTCAACTGGAATGTTTCTTCCTTTGGCATTATCCTATGAATGTGCTGAAGGGGAGCTCGCGAAACTGATGATCACTATCAGTTATGCCCATATTTATCTTCAGGGGCTTATGAAATTCCAAATGGGCTTTCTGAAGAAAATAAATGTAATTCCCGGTTTTCACCAACCAACCTAAGTGTATGTGTGATTGCAGACCTAACAGCGACAACGTTCGCACATTCAGCAAAATATCATCAATTAACTTTTCGAGAAATATCTGTTGTGCACTTATAGTTGATATGAAAGTTGTACAGAATTATTGAGAAACGAACACAAGTAAATGAAAAATATCAGTCGAATGTTGATAAGGAAGCCATAGAACCGATTATGCCGCTGTAAATATATTGAAAAACTCACATGTACTTTTCGTGTTGTAACGATGTGGATCTTCTAGTAAGGAAGTTTATAAATGAACCATGACGGTAATACAATGCACCACACAATCCTTCCCCCAAGATAAAATGTACGAATCCAAAATTAAGCACAAGACAGACTAAAAGTGCAAACGTACTTCTGTTTGAGGACAATGAAGATAGTAGATCACTAACTGATCTATGAGGACACACGCCCCGGTGTCACGCAGTGCCAGCTGAAATCGTTTGCTGGTTGGTCGAAAATTAGCGTGCACCATCTTCATCAGGTTATTTCCGGCATACGAATTGACAGGTTGAACGTGTTTTGGAGACAATTGGTCAATTTGTCGGAAACCCTTTTGGCAAAATAGGTCGGAATAAGTAATGGACGGAATGTTACACGCAGGCGATGAAGAAAACGATCGACTAATGGAATAACCGGGTAGTGCTAAAAACTTGTCTCCTATTTTAAATTAACAATTTGTTTTGCTGACGTCAGATAGAATTATTATATGCTCACGCAATGATGTTTTTTTTTCGAATTTCTTTCCGGTAATCGCTGTAAAAAGGCATTATCTCTTACCAACACAGTGTTGATCGTGTGACATTCCTATTTTACAGAGCGAAATATTACTACGATTGAACAACCATTATACACACTGACTGAGGAACCAGAAAATGTCGGATGGAAAATAAATATGCGTTCAAACAAATTGTAGTTTTAAGGTCCTACGTAATGCGTTTGGTATCTAATTTCGGATCTAGGCAATACACGCGTTAGTTTCAAATCGGTAGCATGAATACGTTTCTAGTAACTTCAATTTGGTCACTCGGAGGGCTCATTATTCCGCTAGGTACTGTAATTCATACATAACGCTATGGTTTCCGAGATATTAAAGTAGCTTTCATGTTTATCTGGTCAAATAACTGAACAACAGAATAATGTCAGTATTCTGTACTGATATCAAGCGGAACATTATTTTGTACAGCTTAGAATCGCGTTTTTCTATGGATATATTTCTTTTATACTCTGGTTATATTTCTCCTTTCGCAAGCTTCATTGATGCTTACAACGGCCAACTATTTAGAACACAAATGAAACAGCTATTGAAGGCTTATAGAGCTTTGTAGTTATTTGCGCAACTCGTGGTCATTTAGAGACAAATACGTCTGTGCGCAGGCCAAATAAATCAAGCATATGCCTATTCTCATATGGGGAATGAATGAACAAAAAGTTATGGAAACGGGGTTCAAAAATTAAGCAAAAAAGGTAGATAAATTAAATAATAACGGAATGAGAGTGTAGGTTTTCTTATCCGTAACTTTAAGGGAGTTGAAAGGACAGCGGTAAGTGGCTCCTCAGGATACGACCAAGGTCCGATTGGTAAAATGGGTACCTTCGTGTATCATTACTTTGTGCATTTTGTGATATAGATTTCACTGGACGGTAATAAACCCGAGTGAAAATTTCAAACTTGAGTGGAGTTATAGGAGGTCCGGCGTGACCTAATGAGTGACGATCGCACTTTAAAGTGGTCAGGAACTGCTGCCAGTCACCCACGGTGAATGGAGTTCTGTCATGCGGATATACAAAAGCACATCGATAAGACTGACGTTAAGTGCAATAAAAGCCCATCTGAAGGAGTAATTCAGCAAGAGTTACGAATATATTTCTCAGGGTTATCACACCTGAATAATTGACAAAACAAGAAAGGCAATAATCGCCCAATTGGTAGACTTCAATGCTCGATTTAACTTTGTTGGGGAGTATATTTTAAATTTCATTCACTCTGCTACGGTGAATGAGAGGATCTGGTTAACTGTTTTTATTGATTAGAAGAGAAACAGACCTGATTTTAGTTTGCAGCATTAATTATTACCAGATTGTTTAAACTTACTTAAAGGTTTTATTATAGTTTTCAGTAACAAAATTTTTAGATATTTATGGGCTTACCAACCGATGTAAGTTCTCAACACAAGCGCGATTATATGAATTTGTCACGGCGTTCACTAAAAGGCATACTTAGGTGAAGTCATTTTAAATCTGCTGCTAATTCCCTCACAAATCAAACGAAATCAGTGTAGACTCATCCAGCAATTCCGTCCAACGCGTTGTTTGAAGAATGTTGTTTTCAAAATAAAAGGTTTTCGGATGGAAAGCTGCAGGGTTTGATCTTCCAAATTACGTCTGAAGGAATACGCCTGCATTGTGAAAGACATCGTCGTGTTATTCCAAATACATGTCAGAAGAAAGCATCTATTAGAGAGCTGGACCATCCTTTGCCACTCAGCTCTGTATTCAACATTTCGGAGTTAGTGACCACGTTCGAGACAATAAAGTTGAATTTCCAAGCATTCTGTTTTTTATTTTCCAATTTGAACTGAATGCACAGCTCTATCTCTGGCACTCCCAGCGTTTTATGGAGCAGAACTATCACGTACTCATGCAGCACTACACACTTGCCATAAAACACAGTCGTTCTGGCATTTATTCAATCGGGATACAGTCTGGGACACGGAAATGACAGCCGACACCCAGATCGTTGTTGTTCAATCTGTTTCACTTTGACAACCATCAACCCGGAATCAAATACACTAGGCTATGCAAGTGATTTGGAAGCAAAGAAGAGTACATAAATTATCAGCAAATCTCATCCCGATTTTTCCCTGAAATCGGATGCTTCATCCAATTATTCATTATCGCTTTGGGAATAACTATTAGTTCCAGAATTGATTGAGACTTTACAGGAACAGCCGTGATCGTGGTCGTACAATAATTTAATTTGTTCTAAGCTTTTGTTCATACCAAGATCCCGGCCGAGGGATTTTGAACGGGGGCGATGTAGAAGAGAGGAGTAACTAAAAAGAAGATGCTTTATTTGGCCATCGTAAAATTGAAGGGTTCCGTCACCCGTGTAAATCCATCGACCTAGCTCATGTTTGAATCCACCTCTTATCGGGTGGAGCGCTAGCATAATATGTACTTGGTCGTACGATCCACGGTTGCTCTGTTGATGACAAAGGACAACTTCCCAGTGCCCCTCAGATTTTGTCTTCTTGGCCCTGTGTGCGAAATCCTACAATATAATTGAACTCTCCCTTATGCTACTGCAGTGACGAATTGATCTTCCTCGGTTATAGGTTAAATTTCGATTTCAAATATGCACTGTTTTCATGCAAACACTGCAGTTCTTTTTCACTTTGTTTCACTCATTTGGCCCTTGGAATCGCCTTTCTGCGTCCGTGAACGTTGTTTATCCTCACTTTCATTCCACCCTGTAGGCGAACAATGTGATTTCCTGCACTAAGTCGCGGCACAAATGAACCACTTTAGACATTCTACTTCACACTATAAATTGGTTGCGTACTCTAGGTAGTATCTATTTTGCGATTAAGAAAATGTTTTATATGTTATGTTAAGGCACGATAATATGATGTATTTCGAGGTTTGAAAAGGAAAAATTACTAATTCTCATCGCATCCATTGGTTTGAGTCTGTTGAGTGCCGTTTGATCCAACGCGTAAAATAAACATTACATGATAAGTAAAGGTGAACTGTACATTTCGCGTATCTACTTCGTTCCTTTCAGGGTTGAGATTCAATATAGGATTCGATAATGGCCATATATTTGTCTTGTTCTCTGGCTTCCACTTGCCAGTTTGATCATCGTTGTTGTTCACCAGCTGCAAATCATAACTCTTGTCTCCTCATTTGGTGCTTACTCATGAAACAGTCAAACCATTGAAATCATGTGAAGCGGACGACTAGTGAAATGAAGATTTTGACATCTAAATTCTTGCCTTTAAAACGATGTAGTCGGAACCTAATGTCACCGGTGAACTTGCCAACTCCCTGGTATGCAATTTGAAACATTTCAGGGAGCTGCTCTCAACCGGAGATATTCATGAGTCAGTTGACAGAAGAGTACTGGAATTGTACAGTAAATGAGCAACACAATTTGCAAAATGATCAAGCGATGAGATAACATGCTTGCTCCTATGTGATGTGGTTGATCGAGGTTCAAATCATTCCATTCACAGAGGATATTAATTTAATAAAACAAACAGTTTTTCGAAATATAAAGAGCACGCAACTGTATGGTCAATTGCAAACACGCATTGAGGGATGAATTTACGAAATTCAATTAGAGATCGTTGAATAGAGCACAATCGGGTGCGAACCGTTTTGGTGATCTGAATGCTCAGTTTGCTGCGACCTTGACCCTACTCGGAATGCCCTAACACTGGAACTAAAAAAGAGGTGACTAAAGGCACTTGCTCACTTCAAGGAAGATGCATATGTGGGTGTTCATCATATGCTTCATGATAAGATTGGTGGAGATTCGTTGAGTGAGTCTATTTGTTGGTTAGCATGTTAGGACTGTAGTCGTGATGTTGACCCACGTGCAATTTTCAACAACTTGGAGCAACATTTTGGGTAGTGCTATCGCCGAACAGTCAAACAGAGACCACAGCAATGAAACTTCTTCAAACGTTTGAGCGGTGATCCAAACAGCCAAATGGCTAATCATACTTCGCTTTGCCTATGAATGTGGTCACTCGAAAGTGAAAGGAACCTTTAAGCGGGCTTTAGTAAAATGTGAAAATGCCGAATCCAAACACACAAAACGCATACCTGCAGTTGGGAATTATTATCCGGTTGATCGAACTGTTTCACCATCACATCAAATTCTTCCCGACACTGATGGGTCTCCCAGATGCCTTGATCCAAAGCACCTCGGTCTTGTTCGCAACTGTGCATCTGATAACGTATATCCACATGCACGCTGAGAATTTGGTCTGAGTTAAACACCAAACTGAATAGCCAATATTCGGCCGGATGTCCAACTGCTCGAGCTGAATGTGGTTTGTTGACAACAGATTTGTTGATTGCTTGAGTTTTGTTTTGCACATGGTCGGTGGTGAGCCCAGTTTGAATAGTGGATTGTGGTGTGCGTAGATCCCGATCGATTCGAGTCAATGCGGTCTCGCACACGCTGTATACAAGGTGACCCGAACCGGCTCGACTCTGTTGACGCCACTAATGAGGTGGGGAAGTAATGGAACAGAGTAGCGTTCACTGATGCAATCAACAGAGTTGTTTTTCTGTTATTCAAAAACATTCTACGTCTGAACAATACGTGGATTTTATTGAATCTTTATGCAATCAGATTCGAAGTAGAAATGGAGTAATTCTTTCCTAGGATGATCTGAAGCATTCAGTCGTTATAATTATTTGTTGAACACTAAACTGTGAATTAAATAATATGGAACCAAGTAACGGTGCAGAACAATTCGGAATGAAAAGAGGCAAAAGCTCTTGAACTCCGCAACCCCTTTGTCACCGTAAACGGATGAGATATTGAATCATTGTGTTGCTTCATATAAAGCGTTTTTCACGAGTTAACTCATTACTCTTTACCCTAAGAGATCTTATCTATCCACATTACCAATTTATGCTGAATTTTGTGCATACGTATGAGTTTGTCAAAAGCGCACTCTTAGCATCATTCAACTTAGTAAAACGTATTGACGGTTTTTTTAAAGATCTACTAGGGAAAGACTATGTCGGGAATCAGTGAACACAAAATGAGGTACATGACACTTAAACGGCATGAGAAATGTGGATGGTCGCTTGGAAGTCTCGCAGTAACTCTATAACCGACAGATATTTAAGTGACTAAAAGTGTTTTCAGAGTCGGTCAAAGAGTGAGGTATTAGCATTGTGGGATTACTGACAGGACTCCGGGGACCTCCAAAATACAAACACGAAATTGGAAAACAACGCGCACTGATTGATAACTAGTGAAAAGTATTGTCCGTAGAGTTTGGAGCTATCTGAGTATGCGCATCTGGAAACATGAACGCCCGAGAGAGTAAGCTGAAAATTTAATAGGCGAAAGTAATTGCAGAATCCAAATAGTGAAGTGTGCCAAGTAAATAAATCAAAGCCATCAGTTTGGACCTGCCTAATCGCGCTCGCACGCTCGTAGGAAATAGTGAATAATGAACGAAGGAAAACAACGAAATTGAAAATTGATTGTATGATGTCATTATCTTTGAACGAACAGTGGAATCACCCCTTGGCTAGGAAATTCATAGCGTTTGAATCACCTGTCATTATGCACACAGAATAGTTTATCTGATAAGGATGCTACCTAAACGGTCGGTTTTGAATCAATCTATTGTGCTTTTGAAGGAGTTTTAACTCAATTGTTTATTTCAACTGCATATCCAACTTCTACCAAATTGTGAATAATTCAACTTGATGCAGTTCAACTGCACCGTTTGGGAATCCGTGTGAAGAAAGATCTTTAATGGGCTGTGAAACCTGAGTTGTAACTTGAACCGCGAAAAAACAGATATCAAAGTACACTTGATTTCGTAACCAATAATAATAAAACCAGAAAGACATCTGATCTATTATTTCAACTCGCATATTTCATGCTATATAAGGCACTCCGGTTTACAGAGTAGCCTTAAAGTTTAACTTGATAACTATATTTACATTTTTTATCTCTCCAAAATTGTCGGTAATTAGATAATGTTTCGAAGATCATTTTCGCGATTTCCATAGTAAAACGAAGGTGCAGAAGATGAAACAAATGAACCAAATTTTTTTCTGTAATGGCCATAAAACTACGTTTGAAAGGTGGAAACTTGAGAAAATGTAATGAAGAATTTAGAAAACGTGGGTAAGCAAGAATAATTGTAAGAATTCCTGGAAAAATGTTTGGATGTCTTTTTCAACACAGAGCACGTAATGGGCCATTTGTCCAAAGTAAATAAAGAATACACTGTTCCCCAGTGGAGGTTTGATCCAGAGTATCAAATTCCATGCTTTTTGAGGAGAGTTTTAAATCAACTTAATAATGTATACGTTTATTGAGCTAATGAATTGACCTAGAGCGAAATCATCTGGAAATTGAGCATGACAACCAACAACGGGTACTGTATGTGCAAAGAAAATGTAATCAGAAATAATGTTAGATGATGATTCGATAATCTTTTTTTCACTTGCTGGCTGAATCAGTTTTTATTTGCAAAAGTTTTCCAGTGATGGCTCATTTACAGAACGTCCTTTTATGAAGTTCGATAGAAAACGAAATACCTAAAAGCTGAACAGTTACCTTCAGCATTCTTAATCTTGAGTTTATGCAATTGCTGAAAGAGAATCATAATATCTCCTATTTCCAAAGAAACCAAGGTGTGCTTTTATTTAAAGCAATACTTTCCATGACGATAATCACTCTGTCACCATAAAAACATTACGTGTGCTTAGTGCAAATTGCCTATCCGTACAGGTGAAGTAAACGGGGTGGACTTTGCCAAAATGTTCTCATGGTTCTTGTGAGTTTTGGGCTTCGACTGTTAGCTGGCTCGATCGAGCTGCACTGCACAATCAAACATTTCTGCGCAGAGCTTCTCAGTCGGCCACTCGGTTTTTTCTTTGACGTGTTTTTTACAATGACGATTATGACGTACAATTACAATTACAATGACTGGAAACCACAAATAAGCTTCAAGCATTTACACCTGAGTCGTCCTCGACGCCTACCAGCAGTAAGCAGTGCCTCGTTTTCGAATCTATGAACTGGAGTACTCTCTCACGTTGCGGAAACTTTAGTCAGTCGGTCTTCCGTTAGTCTACCGACTCTCGCGTAGGTCAACAACACTCTGGAATTCCCTTCCAGCGATTGTGGTGAAAGAGAAGCCAGACGTTGCTTTCAAACGGCGTCTGGATAAGCACCTGAAGGGGCTATGAAGGAACGAACGCTTGTGATCGGACCTTCAACCCGGAGGTGATGGAGCTTACACGGACACCCTGCTCCCTGCCCTCAATCCAGATGACTGAAGACCCCTGTAACTGATCACATGAAAAGTTTGGGAACATTAAAATTGTTTTGCTCACATTGATAATTTTATCTAAGTATAAATCAAACATCTATAGGTTTATAAAATGGAACTTGATTAGGAAATGATTAAGTATTGTGCTACCAAGAACCAGCACAGAAACATCTTTCGGACCACGAAAAAGGCGCCTCATAAACGACCAGTTTTGATCTCAGCTGTAAGAAAATTCAATTGGAAAGCATATATTAAGCGTACGTTCTTTCTAACACCTATTCAGTTACAATCAACAAGGGATTTTATGACGCCCATTTTTGACAACTATTTTATCATCATATATGTTACTAAGATATTAGGAAATTTTTGAATTTGGACCTAAGTGACCATTTGTTTGTTTCTATGGTCAAACTTAAATATTTTAGCTTCGATTTTACTTCAGTTGTTTGGAATGACCAGCACGTATTGTGTATCAAGTTGTAAACCTTTATTTCTGATAAATCAGCACACCAAAGAAAGCAATGGACCGCTGTTTCGACCCGGTTGGGTCTCATCAGAAGTGCGAATCCATCGATCGAACTGGGTTGTGATTGTTTCCAACCGAGCCATAACCTTGGAGTCTGGTGCCGAGATAAGCGAGGTCTGTTGCTTGCAACAATCTCGTAAACATGGTTTGCGCTATATTGTTTAAATGGAAGGCGGTCTGATCATCTACCCAGTGGCCGAGTGGGTAGCATGCTTCCGTTCTGCCCATAAGGTCCTGGGTTCGATCCTTAGTGGGTTCGATGGATTCGCACTACTAATAAAACCCAACCAGATCATAAAGCTGTCCAGTGCATCTTAGGTTTTCGATTCACGCTTCATTTGCCACATACATGACGAATTTACCCTTTGAAGTTGAATAAAATTCTCCATTTCTCACATCCAAGAGAGATTCCATCCTGCAAATGATCTTTATAACGGTCGTTTAAAGTACAAAAACCCAGAATACTGTGATTTGTTCGAAGAAACATTTTGCTTCGGATACGCTGGAATCGGTTAGGTTGAGGTCGCACGCATCTCAATTGTTATTACTCTATGTTCCTCATCAATCAAGCATTATAATGCTCGAGGCAGTGTGCTTCGACAACTCAAGGTACTTGAGCAGCATGTATGACTTCAACTGTTTTTCTGCGTGTCTTTCAAGTGACTCCAGTGTTATAAGGTAGTCGTAGAATCCCAATTGAACCAGAAACTTGTGTAACACTCGAAATTCCATACAAGTCGAGTTCCAGCTTTAGAAAGTGAAACGGTCGGAGGCACAGAAAATGCAATTATTAGTGTTAGCTAGCTAGTATTAAATTGGCATCAGTTCGCTCGCTAAATAAATAATAACTATCACTCTCTCCCCAAAATTGAATTGTGTAATACGGGAATCCGAATTCGTGATTGCAATTTGTTTGTCTGTGTCGCGTTCATTTTGGTTTGAATAATTCATTTGCTATTATTGTTTTTATAGTTATTATCTCAGTACCCAGTTGTATTACACTTGTCTTTAATCCTCTATTTCTTGTAAGGAGATCAAACCGATTGTGATGTGGAAATTTACCAATCTCAGGTTCCGACTACCGGATGTTTTAAACATGTTACACTACCGATTGCGTTATCCTAGGTTATCAGTAGCTCACAATATCGCATGTAAAGTTCGCTGAAGAACTGTTGGAGTCTAATATTTCTACAAGTAACAGGAAAGCCGTTATGAAATCGCTTTATGGTTAGTCTTTTAGTGAAATGGTGTGTACGTGATACTTTTGAAGCCTGAGAGTAGTATTAAAGATCTGTTATTGAGATGTATAATATTGATGCAATTTATATTAGGTAACGACAACTACTGACTAGGCAGTGAAGTTGTTATGGTCTCCTCCTAACTGCTCGTTCTCTGAAGGGCACAGTAGAGACAGACTTGCTGCAAACAACCATGCGTATATTCGGCCAATTCTACCGTCGTGTGGTGGATATTTTGTGTGGTCGCTGTTGAAGTTATTCTCATTCATGAATTTGCAACATTCACCAGGTTTCATTTAGCAGTATTCCGAAAGAATAAAACCAAAGGAATAATTACT